GCTGGCATTCTCTGGTGGGTCTGCAGACTCAGAGCCAAGCAGTTGCTGAGCAAATATGTAACCAGTGACTCCTATGACAAAAGAGGAGGCACTGCCCTGGGGGCTGGGGCAGGGCTCCAGGCTTCCACTGCTCATCCACCAGTCTGTCCAGGGAGAGAAGGTGGTCCCTGCTTATGTTGCAATGATGTACCTACCTTGACTAACGCCTGAGGGCTCAGAAGGAAGTGACAGGTAAGGTGAACAGAGCCAGCCTCGGTGCAGCACAGTGCTGGCAGCTGTGCCCTCAGCAGTGCCCAGGCTCCTAAACCTACCTCCTCATCTCCAAGGAGCAGAAGGGGTGTGCAGGCGTGTAGATCACAGGGCCCTGTGAGGACAAGTACAGTTCATGGCCACAACATGACTTGCCCCTTCCTTAAGCCATAGAGGCATGACCGGGGAGGAACTGAAAATTCATCCAGAGGCCGCCAGGAACCACACACAAGTGGGACACGGGTCCCCTGTGCCTCTCACTGCCTCTCACTCACAGGGATGGTCTGGATTTTCTTTTTACCAGTTCTCTGACATCTTCTCCTCCAACATATCAACAACCAGAAAGTAGGAGCTGATCTTAGGTACGTTCAAGAATCACAGACCACCACATCCACAGCGGTCCCGGCAGCACTTGCCAGGTCTTCCAACCGTCACCTGTGGGACCGCCATGAGCGCACTCCAGACTCAAGGCCCGAGGCCGTAGGCCGGGGGGACACAGCTTCCCTTACTATCCCCAGAAAAGGGGGTGCATCTCTCGGCAAAGGCATCTCACCCTCTTCGGTCCGAGGGAAAACACGATAGATATACGGGGAAACAGAGCAGAAGGTGGGGGGGTAGGCCACCCAGAAGAGCTTGTCTGCACTTCCAAGGCAAAGTGGGGCCATTGACTTACTCACAGGGACAAAGTGAGAATGAACTTTTCCCTGCTCAGTCCCATACTCCGTGACACGCCATTCCCTGTGTAAGGAGTTCATTCGGAAGTCCCTGGCGTTGTTTCTGATGTCCTAACCTGACATGGTGGCTGTCGGGCATGAAGAGAGGGCCTGAGCCGTGCAGGTGCTGGGCCTAGGAGTCAGGAGACACCGGATCCACCCCCAGCTCAACCAACGCCTCGTTCTGCGACTCGGGATTCAGCATCTCATCTATAAGCAAAGGGATAAGACTGTCCCAGGACAGGCTGCCCAACAGAAATGAAATGAGATTCATGTAAAGAAAGTTTCCTAGTTGCCACATTTAAAAAGTAAACAAAGAAACAAACAAAAGCAAATACTAGAAACTGATTTTAGGAACAGATCATATTTATTCAACTGTATGTAAAATACTATCATTTTGACATGTAAGCAATATAGAAAGTAACAAGATAGATTACATTCCTTTTACTAGGTAAGTCTCAGCATCTGATGTGTATTTGACCTACAGCACATGTCAGCTCAGACCAGCCTCCTCCCCAGCGCTCCTAGCATCAGTGACTGGGGCTACTCTATTGGACAGCAACTCCAGGGGTCCCACCAGAGGTCCTGGCTGAAAAGCAGGAGGAAGTTTCCACACTAACCATAAAAGGATCTCTCTGAAACAAAGGCGGATTCACTTTTTAATGTCTGTAAACTGGCGGGCTGCACCTCCCTCCACCCTTGGCTACAAGACAGCCCTCTTCCTTGCTGATCCCTTCCTGGATGTAGGGAAGCAATCCGGCACACAGCCAGGGCGGCCGAGCCTCCTGGTAGACTTACCTGCTGTCTGTGTCCAGTCCCATGAATTCCTCCTTCTCAAACAAGGTGCAGATGAGGGGGATCTTGTCCCCAGACTTGTTGGGGGCCCTATCCAGCCACTTGGACTTGAGCAAGATGAAAAGTGAGTCAGTGAAGTCCTCGATCCTCTTCTCCATCAGCCTGCAGTCCTCGTAGATTGAAGGCCACGTCAGTGTGCGTCTGCTCGTCTAACTCCCCACGCAGCACAAAGAGCTGAGAGTCATTAAGCGAGGTGCCATACAGCTCCTCTGCACGTGGAGCTTCTCGAAGGCCTTGGCTGAGAGGCAGTCGGTAATGGTGACAAGGCCCACAACCTTGCAGTGGGTCTGGAAGATTCTCCACCCATTCTCGGGAGCATAGTGGTGCCTGTAGTGGATACAGAGTGCCCAATGGGAGCTGCACGGGCTGATCTGGCTCATCATGGAGATTTGCTTATAGATTCAAAAGAAATTCTCCTCTGAGATGATCCCAACGGCTTGGACCACCACGAGGAGAATCTGGTTGTTCTCAGCCCACTGCACGTAGTCAGAGATGCTCATGTTGCAGGCCCTGCCAAGAGGGGAGAGGAGATCGGGATACATACTCTGCTGTGGGCTGTGTGCCCATCTGGGTTGTGGTGACCTGTTTGTACCAGCCAGAAGGCAAGGGAAGCCCAAGCAAAGCCGGGGGTAGTTTGTCCTCAGAGTCTGCACATGGCTACCGTAGGTCGGATCACATTACCCAGCTTTTGGTCTAAGCTTCCAGCCCCTGCAGAGCAGGGTCATTTCTTGTTTTCTATTAGAAGCACATAGCCAGACCCTGATGCAAAGACAGTGCTCAAAACTGCTGAATAAAAAATGAACAAAGGAACTGCTTTCCACACCCGTTTAAGCAGAATATAAAGAAAAGAACCATGGTGGGATCAAAATATCTGGATTTCAACTCTAATTTATTTGAACTCCTAAGCTGCAGAATAATGGATAAGAAAACTTGCCTTGGGGAGGAGGGTACAGTTCAGTGGTAGAGCACGTGCTTAGCAAGTACGAAGTCCTGTGTTCAATCCCCAGTACCTCATTTTAAAAAATGAAACAAATAAACAAACCTAATTACCCTCCTCAAAAAATATTTTTTAATTCAGAATTCAAAAAACACCTTGCAGTTGACACAACATTGTAAACTTGATTGTACTTCAATTTAAAAAAAAATCCTTGCCTCACAAGAATATATCTGGATTACAGAAGTTTGCAAATGTAAAACGCCTAGGTTACAACCTGCATAAAAAGGGGGGACTGTACAAATTTACTATCCCTCCTTTATGAGCTATATTACCTTTGGGGGGATTATAACCTCTCAGAGCTTATTTTCTCAGATTAAAAAAAGAAAACATTACCTGATTCTGACTACTGCTGAAGAATCTGATAACCCTATGAAAGCATCTGACACACAGAGTTTACTCAATAAATGTTTGTTGAATGAATGAATAAACAAGCAAAGTGAATGCTGCTCCCTGCCACAGACCATGATAATATTACTGCCTGGAAATCACAAGCCCACGTTCACTCGACTCTACACTAACCATGTGGGTGAAATGTGCAGGCCTGTGTGCTTCTCTAAGCCCCAGTTTAATCATGAATAGAAATGAGGACAATAACACAAACCTCAAAGGATTAGTGAGTCAGTAATTAATTGTACCCAAACTTCTCAAGATTGAACCATTAAGGAAAATTGGGCAGAGTCCATAGGCCCTCTCCATAATATCTCTTACAACTACATGGGAATCTACATTACATCACAAAATTAAAAGTCTAAATTTTTAAAGAGGCTATTGAGGTTAAATGAGCTCACTGTCTCAAATAAGGAAAACACAATACAAATAGGACAATCCCTAGACCATGAGATACACTCAGTTAAATTTCCCACTGAACCCACTGGTCCCTCCAACTTCAGAGCACGAGGATGGGTCCTCGTGGCCAGAGGCCACTGCACCTGAAGCTAACAAAGCTAATGGTCCCCAATTCCAAGAGCCCCTGTCACCACCCTAGGTCTAAGTTTGTATTTGTAATTTTTTTCCTTTTTATTAAATAGAAACCCCCAATTGCATAGCCTTCAGGTCACCAAAACCTGACCACAGAGATCATGATGGCAGCCCTTCTTGGTGAAACAATAAAATGAAAAGCCGTTTCCACAAGAACTCTGTGTAAATCTACTAGGGAACTTCATCCTGGACTGAGGGGAAGAGTACTGGGGAGGAGCGGGCAATCTGGGGCACAGAGAACCATGGGCCACCTGTCCCACGATGGAGTTTAGTTTCAACACTCACCCTCCAGGAACTTCAAAATACACACAGAGTGCCTGGACAAGTTTTTTTTTTTTTTAAAGAAATCACTGACTCCCTAGCAGCTCTTGTTTCTACCGAGACACAAATGGATTTTGTGTATAATGTTTCACACAAACCCTAAAATATTATCACCCCAACTTGACACATGAAGAAACTGAGGGAGAGAGGTTTATTACATTGTGCAAGATTAGAGAGAGGCCGTGTCAGACACCGTATTTAAACCCAATCCCCTGCTCCATTGCTCACACTAGAAAGTGTGACACACTGCCCCTTTGCTGCCCTCTCCCTGCAATAAAACTCTGAGGAGTCTTTTCTGCGCCACCTGGAATCAAAATCACATCAGTTTTCCACAAAGAGCTATGTCACTCCTTGGAGGATGTATCACAATCTAAAGGGTTGAAATGGGAGGAGAGATTTGCATTTTCTGTTCCTCAAAGGAAATATGGCTTTAAAAGAAACTGAAGAGGACTTATCTAGTCTATAGTCTCATTGTGCAGAGAATGAAACAGAGGCTCAGAAGAGATGAGGAAAAGGCCTTATTAACAGATATTGCCTCAGCGAAGCACCAAAACATCCCTGGGCACTTCTCGGGGAGGATGTGGGAGGCCCAAGAGAATGAGTGTTAGAAAAAGAAAGAGAAGAAGCATACAAGGCCCTGTCTCTACATCATCATACCATGGAGTTCCACCAAATTACCCAGTATGGTGCAGCCAGCATTAAGGTGGGCTAGAGAGGTTATAGAAATCTGGAAGTCTCAACCATAGTGGAAATTCCAACATTTACTATGCTTTTTTTCCAGTTCAAGCATCAGCTCAGTGGGCGCTCTGTACCAGGGACTACACGAGGCCTGGAGTCCTCCGAAATACAGATCTCTATTACCACGTGTGCAAACCACATACAGGCCCACCAGAAGAAAAACGCCCACAGATAAGATGGAATTACTGAAACTGAAAGCAGCCAAGCAGCATATATTACTAGGAAAAATGGTGCTGCCAGAAATGGACTCATGGACATAGAAACAAACTGCGGTTAGCAGGCAGGAAAAGGGGTACTAACAGATACATATTAATAAATATAAAATAAATGACAAGGACCTGCTATATAGCACAGGGAACTATATTCAAGTTCTTGTAATCAGTTGTACTAAAAACAATTTAAACATATTTATATACATATGCATATGTTTATAACTGAATCTCTGCTGTACACCTGAAACTAACATTGCAAGTTAAGTTCACTTCAATAAGAAATAATTAGAAATATAAAATCAAATCATTAAAAAAAAATAAAAGAACACTGTAATCCCCGTAGCTGTAGGTGGTGGATAATTTTAGATGCAAGCAGCAATTCCACTGGACCACTCCAGCACTGATTGTCACCCTTTCTGACCATCAGAGAGTCACTTGGCTTCACTGAGGTTACTTTTCTCTTCTGTGAAAGGCTACATTTGCAATTAACAATGTATAGAATCTCATCATTCACAAGCCCAACAATTAGTGAGGACTTCCCATGGGCCAGGCTCTGGAAAGATGAGAAGATAGTGTCTCAGATATATTCATGGGTAGAAGAAGTTTATGCCATAAAGACATAAATTCTTCCTGTTTTGATAGATAGATTCAACACTCTTCTGATTAGAATTCCTACCAGATTTTTCATGGAATGTAATAATTTATGGTCAGGAACAGCCAAGAAACTTCTTTAGAACCACCCCTGGTGAAGGGTGGATAAAACATTGATTTCCACTATTCTTTCTGAAGTGATGAAAACGTTCTGGAATAATCATGGTTGCACAACTGTGAATATGCTAAAAGCTGCTGAATTGTACCATTTAAATGGATGGATTACACAGTGTGTGAACAATATCATAATAAAGCTGTTATATGAAAAAAATATTTCTTGACCATTATTTTCCCCTCTATACAACTAGTCTGCCACACAATTTAAGAAAAACAAAAAACCAAAACAAACCAAACTGTGCCAGGAGCTCTTTAGGACTGCAATGTCCCTGGGTCTCCAATGTCTCTGGTGGTGCTGTTCCTGTTATAACACACACTAGCTGGGCTGGACTAATTAGGGACTGTAACTATCTTTCTAAAATCGACGGTCACACGTTTCACCCTGGGAGAGGGAAGCCTGGAGGATGTCACAGACTCATGCCTTCAGCTCATGTTTAATTGAATCAAGCCCTGCTTTCAACATTGTAATCCCTCTCACTATAAAAACACGTGACATCATCAAGCACCGCCATCATAACACCTGAAAGTGTTCAAGGAACTTACCTGGGGCATAAACACTGAGGGAGGAGACGGAAGCTCCCTTGGCACTGGTGCTCCCTTTTGCCGACTTCACCAGGAGAAGCTGGGCTTTACAGCCTGAGGCTCTCAGCCCGGGAAGCAGCGCCCACACCACTGAAATGGTCCTGAGGGAGCGGGAAAGGGAGAGGAGGGCAGCCCCGGGGTCACGGGGCAGGGAAAGCGGGGGGTTGGAGACTTGGGCTGCAGCCCCACTTGGAGGCCAGCCCCAGGCCCAGACGCTCACTCCTGGGTCCGCAGACACCACCTTCCTGGAACACAACCCTCCCAGGGGCGGTGATGGTTAGGCGGCCGAGGAGAGGCAGCCCCGGAAGAGAGGACTCGCGGGTGGGAGAGGGGAAAGGGACGCCAGTCACGGACTGAGGGGAGCCCAGCTGGGGCGAGAGGCAGCATTTGCACACCTGGCCCTGGACAGTTGTGGCCAGGGCGCCGGGGCAGATGTCGCGGGCAGAGGGGCCTGGCCCGAGCAATTTAGCTGAACACACGCTGACTCGCGCCCTCGTGGGCTGTGACACTCGGACCACCCTCCCGCAGCCGCCTGAACCTTCCCCGTGAGA